ATTATGGACATGTGTTCTCTAAACAGTGTAACAATCTAGACGTTATTGATAAATTTCTTGGGAAATATGAACGTCAAGATATAGAATACTTGACTAGACCTATAAGTAACGTGTTCCACTCAACTTTCCAGAGACAGATAATCTTTATCCCATCACAGATTGTTCCAGTAAATGAAAAGAGAGAAGACCGCCCAGCTTTTTTTGCAAAATTAATGTAACCTCGAGTCAAAACCAGATCAGGATGATACAAAGGGTAAAAAATGACAGACCTCTTTCACTTATGAATGAGAATGCAAAAAATAAGATACCAACTGCACTGATCCAACGATGGAAAAAAGATATACTTTATCCCAGCAGTAAAAGATTTGCCAGCAAATGCATTGATGTTATTCATCACAGCAAAGACCAAAGAAGAAAAACCATGCATCTTTTTCAATAGATACAGAAAAAGCATTTAGTGTATACAACATCTATTTAAGATTTCATAATTAAAAATCTTACAAACTAGGAATAGAAAAAGTAAGTTCCTTAAATCGATACCCAACACCTACATCAAACATTTTTCCTTTTTTTTATTACATGTTTTAATGTTTATTTATTTTTGAGAGAGAGAGAGAGACAGCACAAGTGGGTGAGGGACAGAGGGAGAGGGAGACACAGAATCCAAAGTAGGCTCCAGGCTCTGAGCTGTCAGCACAGAGCCCAAGTGGGGCTCGAACCCATGAATAGTGAGATCATGACCTGAGCCAAAGTCTGACACTCAACCAACTGAGCCACCCAGGCACCCCAAACATTTTTCTTAATGGAGAAAATTTAGGCATGTTCCTTTGAAGACTAGGAATGAGACAAGTATATACTATTACTGCTACTGTTTAACAAACAGTGCTGGAGATCCTAACTAATGTGGTAAGAAGAGAAAAAAAGAGGTAGAGCAATTTGAAAGGAAAGATAAAATTTCAATTATTTATAAAATATATGGTCATCTACATAGAAAAAACAAAAGAATAAAGAACCTATCATAATTAATAAAACTGAGCAAGGTTATCAGAAACAAGATCAACCTACACAAATTTCTAAAGCTTATCTACACCAGTGGTTCTCAATGAGGAGCGATTATGCCTCTCAGGTAGGGTTGACAAATTTACCAAGTAAAATTTAAAAGGACACTCAGTTAAATTTGAATTTCTGATAAGCAATAAATAATTACGTAGTAAGACATGCCCGTGCAATATTGGGGATAAAATACTGGGTGTCAGTTATTTATGTGACAGCCCCATCCCCAGAGGACATTTGGCAATGTCTGAGGACATTTTGGCACAACTGGGGAAGGGGTGCTACTGGCACCTGATGAGTGAAAGGCAGGAATGCTGCTAGCATCCTACAACGCACAGGACAGTCTTCACAACGAAGGATCATCCAGCCCCAAATGTCATAGTGCTGAGGCTGAGACACTCTGCGATAACCAGCCAGAAAATATAATGAAAATCAAGGACCATGTCCAGCAAGTATAAACTATCTGGGGATTAATTTCACAAAGAATTCACAAAACTACTATAGAGAAAACTTTGAAACTCTTAGAAAAGGCAGAAAAGATTCGATGAATACGCAGAGACATTCTATGCTCCTGTGAACGTGCAAAAAGGTCAGTTCCACTCTGAAAATCACTAAATTCATTGTAACCCTAATCAAACGTTGAGCCGAGTTTTCTTCAGAGATTTGATAAGCTTATTCTAAAATTTACGTGGAGGAATAAAGGACCATGACTAGCACAGTCGAGTCTGAAAAAGAAAAGAGGGAGAGACTGGTTTGCAAGATATTAAGACACGCTAGAAAGTCATGGTAGTAAAAAGTGTTACTGGCTCCAAAACAAACAAAAGAGATCGACGGGGCAGAAAGGAGCACTCAGAGACTGACCCTTGCAAACTTCATGCACTTCAGAAAAGCTGCCACAAATCAGTGGGGAAGGGCAGACAAACACTGAAAACCACATGAAAAACACATGAAAAACCAAACCCAAACAAAACTGGAACCCACCTGATACCACAGGGAAGATGGATGACCACAGGGTTTTTTTTTACATTAACCCTTTTAGGTAAAAAGTAAAACTATACATAAAATTAACAGAAGACAATGTTAGTGGGCTAAGGGTGAGAAAGGTCAGAAGTACCAGCCATACAGCAAAACGGATGGGTGGATTTGCTTACACCAAAAGAGAGGGACTCCTATCACCAAAGGATGCTGTGAACAAACATAGCATACTGGGAGAAGATATATGTAACACCTAAAGCAACAACAGACTAATATCTACATTAAACAAGGGACTCTGGTAAATCAGCAAAGAAAAAGAAAAAAAAAAAAAAAAACCCTGGGTAAAAAATCAGCAGAGAGGGGCGCCTGGGTGGCGCAGTCGGTTAAGCGTCCGACTTCAGCCAGGTCACGATCTCGCGGTCCGGGAGTTCGAGCCCCGCGTCAGGCTCTGGGCTGATGGCTCGGAGCCTGGAGCCTGTTTCCGATGCTGTGTCTCCCTCTCTCTCTGCCCCTCCCCCGTTCATGCTCTGTCTCTGTCTGTCCCATAAATAAATAAAAACGTTGAAAAAAAAATTTAAAAAAACCCAGCAGAGAATGAACAGGCAGTTAACTGAGAAAGACCATAAGATGCCAAGAAAGATATAAAGAGATGCTCACCCTTATCGTAGAGAAATGTAAATTAAAACAACCTTACAATCTCACTTTACATTCAGCACATTAATAAAAATTAGGAAGCTGGATAATGCCAAGGGTTGCGGGAGATTCGCTGTTGGGGGATTGGAGGCTGAGGCAGCCTTTCAGGAGAGGAGCCTGGCAATATGGGATCAGATTAAGCAAATGCACCACCTGTGATCCCGCTAGCCTGCTCCTGGGGATGTGCCCAAAGAGATCATCCAAAGATGATTAAGGGGACATGTGTAAAGATGATCCCCGCAGTGATGATTGTGCTGCCAGAGCGGGTCGAGCCACAAGCCCAGCACTGGGAGCCTGGGTGGGAAAACGGTGCATGCGCACATGGGAGGTGGTGCAGTAACTACCAGTAATGGATTAGCTGTATGCACAGCAGCATCTATGGGTCTTTAAAAGCGTGATGCCTAGTGGAAAGCAAAAAAAGACTTACAGCCAACATTTTTAAATTAAAAAGCATGCTCACAAAGCAACAGATGCTACATAAAGACACACAAGTAAGGTGCACATCAACACAATAACACGATCGCTGGTCATGAGTGGAGAATGGGAAAGAGAAATGAGGATAAAGGGGACTAAGTAGATTTTTTAAAAAGCTAAGTCCTTGCAAAGCCTAGAAAATAAATGCGCTGAACTGAGGAGGAGTATGAGTAATTTAGCCTTCTGCACCTGGGGCCTACAGAAAACAAAGCAGCAAAGAAAGAAAGAAAAAAAAGGTGCAATGGGCTTGACAGAAGCTGGAAAAGCTATTTCCCAGCTTCAAGCAACTTGGGTGCAGACTGTCCATTGTTTGAAGGAAACGGTTTTCCCGGGCGGCTGCGAGGGACCCCCTGGAGGAGAGGCGGGAGCTGGGCAGAGAAGCAGCGTGAGCACAGGGGTCGGGACTGCTGAGGTCTCCAAGTGGAGATGCCCAAATCCCAGAGGGGTGGAGGGCCAGCTGAGGGGGTGCTACAGCTGTTACCACAGAGGTGGAGGCCTCATTTGTGTCCACTGTCCAGCAAGGCAGAGGGGATATTCAGGTAACACATTAATCCTGTTGTAGATAATAATTTCCTAACAAAAACAGGATCATAATATATTGTTGTGTAACACACTTGCATCATGAAACGGCATGTTGTCAACATTTTCTATGATATTAAATACCCTTCTACAACACTGGCATGGTTTTATGGGGTCCATGCAAGTTACTTATTGCTCAGATCCAGGCCCCACCCTCCACTGGTCACAGTCTCCCTTTCCAGCTGGCTCCTTGCCGGGTTCAGCCAATGGAGACACTGCAAAAAAGTAGAAGATGGGAGGGAGAAGCCAGGGCATTTCTAACTGACTTCCTCCCTAGTCTGTGGTTCCAGCTCCTGTACCGCCGCCCGCCCCCCCCCCCCCCCCCCCCCCAGCTTTTGGACTTGGTCCAGCCAGTGGGATGGAAATGGATCTTTTGGACATTGCTAATCTCTGGTGGCTTCTCCATACTCTGGCTCCTCAGCTCTTTCATCACCTGTATAACCAACTGGAATAGATTGTCTTCCTGACCAGACCCTCACACAGGGTGGGCAGACCCATTGTATGGAGTGAACGTTTTTTTTTATTATAAATCATACAGTAGCCAATACCCTCGAAGTGAAATCTTGGTCTCTAACTATCCATTTCCTCTGCACAAATTTCTAGAAAATTACACAAAACATCCTTTTGTTGTATATTGCCTGTTTCCCCCTAAATGGTTGTACCAGTTAGCACTTGCAACAAGAGTGTATGGGATGCTTCCATAATTTCACTGTCAATCAGGCAGGGCCATGTCAGTGGGTGTCAGTGGGGTCTTGTGAGGAATGGATTGCCCAGGTCTGTATTTTGTTTACTGGAGAGAGAGGAAAGGTAAGGAGAGAATAGACGCGCATGTTTTTTAGATGTTCACGTAAGTAAGGGCTTTATATCCTGAATGTGAATCACATGCCTACAGAGACCAGCCACAGGCCCCTGAAGGCTCTGCTAATATCTCGGCCAAACTCCCTAAACAGTATTCTGCTGCACCAGTCATGGTTCTTCACCGATGCTTGAAAGTTATAGGCTCAAAAACGGCCTAGGAAAGGTCATCTATCTTCCAGTTCCATTGGAACGGAGTTTCTGAGAAGAGAAATATCTGGGGTCAAGACCAAGTCTTGGCCACATGCCTGTCAAGCAAGCACATACAGTCAAAATCAAGACACTCATTAATTACTCACACCAGTTAGAACATCCTCATATGCCCAACAGATGAGTACATTCTTCAAAATTCTCAGGAATCACACACTGAATATTTTGAAAAATGTTAAAATTTATTAATAGTTAACATCACATAGTTAATTCAACTAGTTCCTTATTATACATGACAACATCTTTACTAGACTGAGTGCTCAATAATTTGAGATTCACACATCCCGGTCAAAGATTGAGATTCACCATATTTACATCAGGCAAAGCAGCATCAGCAAGGAACTGTCACCTAACTGTGGGAACACAAACATTCAAAATGCATATTCCAGCATTCCTTTTTGGAAACCAACAACACATGTGTAATAGCCACACACACAGCTCTACCTTTAAAAAAGGTGCAATTTCATACACAGTGCCTAATTTTCAAGTTTAAAAGTTAAAAATCATCTCTACTTCTTGGGCATTCTTTAGTGATACACAAACTTAAACATTGTTCTCAGTACAAGTGTGAGAGATGTGCAAAAACTGGGTGCTACTGAGTCGTGTCTTTCCTTCCTTATTTTGATCCTTGATTCCTACTCAATAGTGTTATGGGGCCATTCCCTCTTTACCATGTAGTTGCAGTGTGTGTGGGTGCATATTTTAGGGAAGAAATGGGCTTTTGGACTCAGAATTAACTGCACTCCTGAAAAGTAAGAGTATACAAGATTTTATGCCACCCCACTCCCCCCAACCGCACCAACAGTTTGAAATAAATATTGTGTATAAAAACAGCTCAGCCTAGAGAAGCCCTTGGACGATGCCTCTCATAAAACATTTATGAAACAAACCGATTTTGCTAGGAGGGCACAAATCCACCAAAAGTGTTGTCCCTGAGGTTTTCTTTGTTTGATTGTTTCATTGTTCAGTTTTGGTTTGCTATTAACAGATACTTTTTTTTAAATGTTTTTGGTGGCTTCCTTTATCTTCTTGGAGAGCTTAAAAAATACTACTGACTGCCCTAAGAATGACAATTCCTAAGCAGTGAGTCTGTCTGAAATGATTCCTGTTTCCTTTGGTTAAGAGCCTGGGTAATATTGCCCCAGGAAGGTCTAGACAGAGCAGCCAGTCACTATGGTTTTTTTCAGTCCATAGACCCAGCTTCCCTCACTGTTCCCTGCCTTCCACGTTTCTGAGTCTGCAGGTTAAAAAGGAGCCGGGAAGGAGCTACTTGGCCATTCACTCACCTTGAAGAGGCTTCCCTTCTCTTCCCGCAGGCGAATGAGGTATTTCTAGTAACCTGTCAGTATCTTCACCTTCCATCCTGAAATTACGCTCATCTACTACAGAGGCCAAGTCTGAAGACACCCTGTGTATTTATACACATAACAAATTGACATATAAATACATTACATACAGCCCATCGTTACATACAGTGTCAAGATAAAGGAGCAGATGTACTTCATGAAGTAAATAAATTTCAAACATAAATTAAAATGAAAGTAGGGTTGTTTCCACTTCTGCAGGAAAAATTTTAAAAACAGACCAAAAAAGTCTCCCCATCCCCCCAAAGGTCCATTGCTCATGGATGACTCAGGAACCCACAAGGAGATAAGACAAGCCCACTTGCAGGATGTGTCAACTCATGGCTTTGATTTTGCTTGCTCAGATTCGGGATGCTTTAATTCCAGGAAGAGCATCGCTGGAACCCATCAGGCTTGAAAAGTGAGGTTAAAGAGGGGCCATCACATGGCTATCCATGGATTTCCCTCCATCGCTGCCTCTTCTCCCACCTCGCCACTTCTGCCTGTGGAGGATCAGGCTCAAGTTATTGGAGATCCCCACAGATCTCAGAGCAGAAACGACATCCACCTCCATACTGGGGAATGCTCTTTACCTAGAAATGTCACGTTCAGGGTCCATGGTGAAGCAACCGTATCTTTTCATTAGTGTCCCCATTCTGTCAGATTATACAGGGACATGGAATTTGGCCAGGGGGATTACTAAAGGTTAAAATTTGCCTTCTTAAGTTTTCAAAGAACCAATAGGAAGAGTTGTGACAAGTATGAACAAGTCCTTACTTCAAAACCTATTTATCTCAGGAGGGCTAAGTCTTGGGCGCTGAACTCTGCAGTGAGTACACATAGAGACAACACCCAGTCCGACGGGTCTTCCTCTGTCAGAGACAGACCCCTTGGGTTTTCTTATAATTTAAAGGAGGGAAGAGGGGGAACTCCAGGAAGTCCCTTCCAATTTCAGGGACTCTATCGCTGTCCAGCCTCACGGATGCGGCAGGCCACAGCAGTGATGAGAGCTGCCCCCTTCCCGCTGCCATCCTCTGACTCCAGGAAGGACACATCACATTTCGGAGCCAGGTCTTTCACCGTCTCATGCATGACTTTGGCAAAGCTGTAAACGTGGGGAGGAAGACACAGGAAAAAAAAACTTCCTTAGTCATGATTGATTTGTGTCCTCAGAGATGAGACCCTAAGAAGTTATGCTGGAAACCCAAGAATTATTAAGATGAGCAAGAGGACGACAGCTACCATGTATTAAACACTCTGTATTGTGTATCTGAAAACCAAGGCTTGTGAAGGCTGGCAACATGCCCAAATTCTATGTCATAGCAGGCAAGTGGGGAGCAGAGATCCTTGTAAGACAATCATCGGAGATTCTGGAAGCTGTGTTCTTGAAAGTAATCAGGGGCACCTGGGGGCTCAGTCGGTTAAGCATCCGACTTCGGCTCAGGTCATGATTTCGAGGTTCGTGAGCTCAAGCCCCGCATCGGGCTCCGTGCTGACAGCTTAGAGCCTGGAGCCTGCTTCGGATTCTGTGTGTGTGTCTCTCTCTGCCCCTCCCCCGCTCACATACTGTCTCTCTCCCTCCTTCAAAAAATAAACATTAAAAAGATTTTATATGCTAATTTGGGTGTAAATTTTTACAAATAAAAAATAAAATTAAAAAAATTAAAAACACAATAAATAAAAATAAATTTAAATTAAAAAAAAAAGTAATCAGTGGAAGAGAAGTTCAACAGTCATAGGCATCACAAGTATATCCTGCAGAAGGGCATATCTTGTCCCTAAATTCTGGAAGATAAAGCCCCATGCACTTGATACTTCATTTTCCAGGGGTATGGACTCACATCAGATCCACATGTAATCCAAAATGACACTAAAGATAAAAGGAGCAGGTTCATGGGTGGCTGTAGGCCCATTACGGTGATCACAGGGCCTTTCAATATGGGACTAGAGAAAGAGATGGTCACCATGTACCCCAACATAGCAGGGTCAGGAAGGCCTCCTCATCTATGAAGCAAGCCTCAGTGCCAGTGGCTTGGCTCCTGTCCCCCTCCCAACTCTCCTCTGGGACCAAGATTCCTACTCTTCAGTGACATTGACCATCAAGACAAGGGACGTGCGACCTCTCAAGTTTCCCTCTTTTAACTATCTGTGTAGTCTCTCAACTCCTCGATAAACAGTCATGCTGCGAGCAGGCAACATTTCAATAGAGGTGTCTCTCTTTCCTCACTCTGCCTCACCTACTGCCCAGACCAGGGTAACAGCTCTGTTCTTTTAACTTTGAGCTAAAAAGCTTGTAGGGGGGAGGGGCGGGGGGAAGGGATTGGGGTACTTCCTAAATTAAAAATGATTCATTCAAAACAAATGCAAATGAGTGAAGAAGGGAGAGGAACAATGGCTGATGAGAGAAGAAGAGAGATGGAGAAACAGGAAAAAGCGTAGAAAGAAAAGAAAATTCAGTGCTTCCACATTGGGGGAGTTTGAAGGACACGCTTTATAAAAAGGGCCAGACAGGGGAGGCTGGGTAGCTCAGTCAGTTGAACTATCCAGACTCTTGATTTCAGCTCAGGTCGTGATCCCAGGGTCCTGAGATCGAGCCCTGCCAAGAGCTCTACACTGAGTGCGGAGCCTGTTTTGAGATTCTCTCTCTCTCCCTCTGCCCCTCCCCCATGCTATGCGTGTGCATGCTCTCTCTCTCTCTCTCTCTCTCTCTCTCTCTCTCTCTCTAAAAAAAAAGAAAAATTTAAGGGCAAGACAGTAGATCCACTTTCAGCTTTGTGGTAACTACTCTGCCAGTGTAGAGTGAAAGCAGCCAGAGACAACATATACATGAGTGGGCATGGCTCATGTTTACAAAAACAGTCATGGCTATAATCTACCAGCCCCCACACCAAACTGCAGAAAATATCTCGCTCCAGAGTTCCCCTACATTTCCTAGAATGTTCACAGGAGCAGTGTTTGTAACAGACAAAATCTAGAAATAACCCAATATCCATTAGCAGAACAGTAAACTATAGTATACTCATTCAAAGGTATGCTACGCAGCCCTGAAAATTAATGAACTGCAATTGCATTCTTCCATGTGGATGCGTCTCAAAGCTATAAATGCTGTGTGGGGAAAGCCAGTCACAAAAGAGGAGATGCCACAGGACTCCCCTTATGGCAGGTTCAAAATTAAGTAAAACGGAACCATAGCGATGCATACACAGATAAGCAGGGAAAGGAAGCAAGGGACTAAGTCACCAGAGTACCTTCCCTGGCAGGGGACAGGGGCATAGCGCCTGAGTCTTCCAAGCTGGGTGGTAAAACACAGACCTACTTCTGGCTCTTAACCTTTAAAGTAAAGCATATATATTATAGACACTCATTTGGAATGTCAGGTGCTTTGCTATAAACTAAGAAGAGAGAGGAAGGAAGGAAAAGCAAGGAAAGAACAGATGGAGAAAGAAAGTTGGACAAGGAGAGTGGAGGTCAGGCACTCACTGAGGATGTAGCTTGTAGAGGGTCCCATCCACGCCTACTGTCACTTTGAGGGTGTCCAACCCACGGTTTTCTCGTATTTTGTCCACCACGGCGGCCATGCCCGCACCACAGAGCTGGGCCGCCCGCCGTGCCACCACTGTGCACACCTCTTTGACGATGATGCTGTCATCACAGGTGCTCTCGAGCCCCAGGTGGTGCAGGATGGCTCGGACCTGCAGCAGGGCTAGGCAGTCACTGGGGGGGCGGGGGGGGGGGGCAGACAGACAGGGAGTGGTCAGTCACATACACCAGGGGCTGATGGCCCACCCACCACTCCAGGGGACTGGTCATGTAGGAGCTCCCTGAGAGGTGGATCCTGTTCTTGAACTCAGTTCAGGAACCCATGCTCATCCCACTGGACCACGCGGAGCCCACCTGAGTGTGACGGGAACGTAAAGAAACGGGCTCCTATTCCAGTTTGCCCAGGCGAGGCGGGGCACTGCTACCATACAACTGGCACTCAAGACAAAAGGAAATTCACCATCTACGTATTCCACTCATTTGGAAAGAATACAGTGACAAGGCTTGTAGTTGGCATTTTCAGCTCTTTCTTATCCATTTTCTTGTTGCTGTTCACAGGTCAGCAGGACAAGCATCACCTGCCAGCAGAGATCCTGTTCTGTCTCTGCTCCCCCACCCGGGGTGGTCTGATAACTACTCGCGGCTCAGGAAACAAATGTATATACAATTGTAAGAAAATAAATATTATATAAAGGGAACTGTTTTAGAACCCTGGAATCAGCTTCCTGCACACAGACAGACATGCACACTAGAACATATTCTTTCTATTCACTGGTGCAGATGTCCTGGGGCCCCACTCATGCCAGTCATCCAGTTCCTGTTTTCCCATACACCTGACAGTAATGCATAGCATTAATTATTAAAGGGCTCCAAAATTCACTATGGTAATTTGGAACGGTCTTTGCTTCCATTAGACTGGAGGAGGGGGGTTTTGCTTTAATGAGCCACCACATGGCCTGCTTTCTTCTGCATTGCCATTGCCTGGCATGCCAATCTTCACTCGATCCTGGCTGCCTTATTACCACAGCAGCAGTTAAGAAGCACCCTCCCGCCAGGTGCAAGCACTTTAGCTTCCTTTGTGCATTCCAGTTTATATCCTATGAGTAGGTATCTTTCTACCTTTGATAGTTGATCTAAAACCCACCCACATTACTTTGCATGGGGGGAGGGGAGGTGCCTTGTGCCAGCTCAGCAGGATTTTTCATGAGAATGTTATATATTTGCCCTTAAAATGCCAACTATCCATAACTTTAAATAAACACTATAGACAACAAATGTGTTTGCTACTAAACTGACGTTTATGTAAGCCGTGCCCCGACCTTACTTGAGCTACGGAAATCCTTCAGCTTGTCTGTCCATGAGAAGGAGGATACGGTCCCACCCTACCCCGGGCCCTAAATTCTCACCTCTCAATCTGAGACAGGAACTTGGTTTCAAAGATTCCTCTTGTCTTGAGTCGTTCTGAGATGCGGCCACGGAAGAGCAGCCCACGCTTGGTGAAATCGATGAGGATGTTACGGACAATCTCGCCCAAATACATGCCACTGATCATTTTCTCAAACCTGCAATGCAGATAATGTGCATGGAGGTTAAGCAGGAAGGTGAGATGCCCAGCACATTAGAAAGTAGAGGGCATGCAGGTTCCCCCTGGTGGGAAAGGAAGTGCTATTTGATTCACTTGGGCAGGCTTCCTGGTATCTGCATACATTGACCCACAGCCTTCGGCAAAACTGACTACAGTGCCTGAGGCCCATGGGGTTCCCTGGGATCATCTCCATCTTCTGGGCTCATCTCCCTTCTGGTGCTTACTCCCAACTCCAAGAAGGAAAACACACTCAAACCCCATCTCCAAGAAAACGGCAGGATGCTGAGTCTTAATCCTTAACTTCATCAGACATTCAGCATGTTTTCTCTCCAAACTAATCATTATCACTTTACTTGAGTGCCAACTGGAGAAGCCCTGTCTTGGCCACCAGAATTGATGTGACAGCTCGGTGGCTTGAGGGCCTTTTGGCCCTCAATAGTGCCTTTAAAAAAGCTGAGGCCCCCAGTTGCAACCAAGACCCCCATCCCCACTCCATCTTGTCCCACCCTTTCTTTCATTAATGACACTTATATGGCCCCTAGAGGCATTTTCGTCTGTGACTTGTACTCTTGACCAAAGTATATTCTGCAGAACTATGGTCCCTGATTAATCCAATTAGGAAACACTACACACAACATCTTCCCAATGGGAAGTGTGCTCGCAGATCAGAGCACCTCCCCATCATGCTTTGTGAGGCTAGGGCTGGCCCTTGTCCAGTCCTGACTATAGAGGATGTTACATAATGAATGGATGAGGAGGAAGAGACTCCTGTTTGCTTCCTGTTCCTCTCTGTTACACCAGCTTCTTTACCCTACTATCAGCAGATGACTCAACTGTCTTTCCTCACAGTCCCAGACCTAGGTTTTAACACCATCCCTTCCTGTTCTCACAGGCAGTGGTAAGAAGGCTGCCTCTGACATTTCCTAGTTCTGTGTTCCTCAGTATCCCCTTTACATCTTTTCATCCTTCTAAAACCTGTGTCACCAGTTCCCTTTAAGAAATGCTCCTCAAAACACAACTGTTGTTTTCCCAACTGGATTTTGAAGGTGTCATAGTCCAAGCGGTAGTACTTCCCGGATGTTATTTGAAAACCCTTGCCAAGGAAATTTCTTCTATTGACGTCTCAGAAACAGGTGTCCTGGGACTTGCTGTTGCAGAGGATCTGACCACTTGCTACAGTGCAGTTGGGGTACATGTACCAGGACTCGCAGGCATTGGGGTACCTACCTCTGTTTGCCAGGGTTGAGAGAAAGCTCATCCACAGCCACATCAAATTCCGTGCGGAAGTCGTCCAGGCACCCGTTGTCCCCGAAGGCCCCCCACTCCATGTTGACACACATCCGGCCCTCCTCCCCTTCCACCAGCTCCACGTTCCGCATCTCCTCCATGTAGCAGGCGTTGCTGCCCGTGCCTGCCAATCACAAACACGTCAGGGCCTCACTCTGCACCGTCCCCACACCCGTCTGAGGCCATGGGTCACAGCGCAGGAAGGACTGCTGGGGCTTTACCAACAATGAGGCCGATTTCACAGTGAGGGTCTTCATAGCCACAGGTCATCATCGTCCCAACTGTGTCATTCACCACGGCAACCACATCCAGGTCAAACTCCTGAGAGGGCAAAAGCAGATCCCCAGTCCACCAAAGAACCACAACATGTTCTTTCAGACCCTTGCAAGGGAGACTGATATGTATAGAAAGTGTATTTGATACAGCCTGGCTCATTCTCACTTTTTGTTCAAATGTCACCTCCTCAGAGACCTTCCCCGGTTGTGCTATTTAGGAGGGCCCTTCTCCAGCCCACTCACTCTGTCCTCACCTGACTTCATGTCTCTTCACAGCTCTAAGGCACCTGACATTAGCTCATGGGTTTGTTTATAGTACCAGAGTTTGTTGTGGTCATTCCTGAAGCCCCAGTGCCAAGAGCAGGGCTCGACACGCAGCGGACACTCGGTCACCACCAAAGGACCACGCTAATTCTCCCCCTAACCCAGGCAACCACACCCAACACTTCCCCACTTTTCGAACACGGGTCATTCTGGGCCTCGTGGCATGCCTCTCCCACCTCTCGCCGGTGAATGGCTTCCTTCAGCAGGGTGACCACATCCTCTCCCTCGCAGCCCGATGCCTTGAAGCCTTTAGTCCACTTGAGGAGGATGCTCTAAAAGTCACATAAGAGCACAGATGAGGACAGCAGAGGAGGGTTCCTGTGTCATTCCTGGGGCCCGGCTGTGCCTCTCGTTCTCAACCTCACCAGGTAGTACAGATTCCCTTTAATGACCAATCATCCCTCTCACAAATGATTGCATACCCCCTATGCGTGTGTTCCATTGTTTAATCCTCACAGCAAACTGGTGACATAGTTATCATTATTGTGCCCATTTTCTAGGTAACTGTGGCTCTGGAGTAACTTGCCCAAGGCCTGAAGCTTAGGGGAAAGGAGCGGGACTCACCCCCAGGCCAGCTGACTCCATGGGCCCCTAAGTACCACATCACTGTCCCTGCAGGGAGCTAAGTTCTATACAAGTGTTTCTTTTGCTGGGAAAAGCAGTTTGCTCTGCCCTGTCCTATATTCACATCAGAAGGGTCAGAGTCTGTCCCTTCATTGTCAAATTCCAGGATGGTGTGAACAAGTGCCCTGCTTGGGTGACAGTTGGGTGACAGCTAGGCTTCACGTCATCCCAGTGAGGGAAGCACTCTAGGCTCTTCAGAGTCACCCATAAGCCACTCGTCTTTAATGTGGCCGTCTGTCGTGTCACAGGGCCCCCTGGGGAATACACACATGGAGATTTTACATATGGGAAAAGTGTTTCGGTTATTGTCCCCTGGTTTCCTCTTTGCTGCTGGAACCCATCGGAAAACAGCATCAAGAACTATTGGGCCACCTCCCTGCAAGGCCAGAATCCATAAATGGACTGTGTGCTCACTACCCACCCTCTTTCATGGTTTCTCCAGGCCTTGCTCAGCCTCACCCCTGCTTGGCATTTCATGGCCCAGGAGTTTAGAGTCACAAATCAACCTGGATGTGTCATGCTGTGTTCAGATCCCAGGAGATTTGGAAAAATAAGATAGGATCCCAGCAGTGTCCTGGCTTACATACCTACATCCAAACAACTGTGTGCTCATCTCTAGCTGTCTTGCCTACAAATTAGCTTCACATCTCTAATGAAATTTTATATTTAGCACTTTCAAGTTTACAGAATGATCAAATAACATTATTTCAGGTGGTCCTTAATAATAAGACACGCAGAGAGGTCCGTGAAGCTGGGGAGACTTGCCCAGGGCCACGAGGTGGTCAAGGCAGCTTGGGGCTTCTGGGCCTCAGCACCTGCTGATTTTCCACTCAATAAGACAATCTTACCAGAGCAGATCCCGGCTCACAGACCGATTGAACAACAGAGAGAACGCAGCCTCTGTTTGATCTGCTCTTAATTTTCACAGTGCTAGATGGAACACGTACTCCCTACAGAAACTTAGAACGTAAAGAATGAAATCTAACACAATGACCTGGAATCTTACCATGCAGGTAGAAACAGTGAATATGTTGTTGGGTTACCTGATAAACTCTTAAAGATAGATACATGCTGGCATGAAAAGTAAGGCATGTCTATTTAAAAATATTTCAGCAGGAAAATCCTAGAAGCAAACACACTGGAGTCCTATGTTCTCATCTTCTGATGATGAAGGTATTTTTTGTGGGTTTCTATACTATAGAGATTATCTTTTTCTTAAAAACATTTTTGTTAGTCTTACCACCAGTTTTTTCCCACATCATTGAAATTTCTTCCAAAAACATTCGTTGCTGATACCCGGCAGTGAATGGCTCAGAACTTATTAACTATTTCCCAACTGTTGAACAATTGGGTTAGTTTCTAATGTTTTCATTATAATAAGCAATGTTTCATTAAGAAACATGTAAGTATTTATCTGCACGTTTGGTAATTCCCTTTGGTAAACTGATGTAAATGGAGAAGCCTTTGAAAACCCGGTGCATTGACACTGAGAAACATAATGTGAAAAGACAAAGGAATCAGAAAAACTGGGGAGAGGGAATTGGTATAAGCTTCCAGTGACAGGGTAAGTGAGTACTCAGGATGGGATGAACATCATGATGGCAACAGCAAGCACTGCCATAGGGTATATTAGAAAGTTAAGAGTAAATCCTAAGAGTTCTCATCACAAGGAAAACTAACCACTTTTATTCTTTTTCTTTTTTTGTATCTGTAGGAGATGACAGATGTAAACTTATTTGTGGTGATCATTTCACAACATAGGTAAGTCAAATCACTGTGCTGTACACCTTAAACTTATACAGTGTGCATGTTAATATCTCAATAAAACTGGAAAGGAACAGAAAAGTGAAAAGCAACACTGCACCCCTAACACTGGACAAATGGTGACACATGTTGGGAAATACTGGATTAGGCAAGGGTTTTTATTGCACGACATCCTAAAACCTTCACTGTACTGGTGCACATGAATTTAACTCAGAGGGGAGGAAGAGGAAGCATTTACAAAACTCAGCTGAGCAACAGGAGGGTTGCTATTCCGGGGATCCTGTGGGAAATGCTGGCCTTTCTTCCCTACTGGACCAACCTCCCTGCACCTGTGACATTTCCCACCTACGTGCCCTCCTCCACACTGCCAGGCCTGCCTGCCTTTCTTCCCCATCAACTCATGCTTTGGACTTGGAAGATGATCCAAGTATTTTTTTTTTTTTTTAATTTTTTTTTAACGTTTATTTATTTTTGAGACAGAGAGAGACAGAGCATGAACGGGGGAGGGTCAGAGAGGGAGGGAGACACAGAATCTGAAACAGGCTCCGGGCTCTGAGCTGTCAGCACAGGGGCCCGATGCGGGGCTCGAACTCACGGACCGCGAGATCGTGACCTGAGCCGAAGTCGGCCGCTTAACCGACTGAGCCACCCAGGCGCCCCTATAATCCAAGTATTTTTCATGCCTTCCAGATATGTGCTCGGGTAACATCACACTGCGCATCCTCGGGGCCTCGGAACCCCATCAGCACCACGTTCCAAACAGCAGCTCATGCCTTCCTGAGCTTGCTTACATCACAGTTTGTTTGTAAGCACCTCAAGTAGGAATCATGCCTTTTGTACCCTGGCCACTCTGTCTACCACATACTGACCAGTTGTGAATATGCATGTGAGCTTCTAGAAGACCAATGGAGACAGAGGAACAACTGCTTAGACAACAGTATTCTGACATCTAATATGCTGATAATCAATGCAGAATAAGCCCAAACATGACCTACTCAGCTCTCCTACATTCTCAACACACCATGTCCGGGATATGTGAGAGCACCAGCTCTTTGCCCACCTGCTTCATTCCTGCATGGCAAGTTGAAAGGGAATGAAAAGCAAAGCTAAGACTAGAGAAGCACCAGAGCATCTAAACAACAGAAGATTAATGAAAATGTCCCAAGCCCAAAACAGGCCTCAGGAGCAGGTGAGCATCACTGAAAACATGGCTTTGGGTATCGGGAAACCAGAATTCAAATCTTGTCTTGGCTATTCCCAAGCCTTCTGATCTGAAGCAAGATACTTGGCATCTCTATAGACTTTGTTTTCCTTTCTGCAAAATGAGCATATGAACACCTATCTTACACAGTTGCTGTGAGCGTTAAGATAATGCACATAGGCAGCCTAGCACAGTGCCTGGCAGATAGTACTTTAAAAATGTTCGTTGCTAATATTTGGTCAGCATCATCATCATCCCTAAGATTGTTACCTACTTTACCTCTACCAGTTCCAACTGAATCATTCCCATCAACAGGCCCCTCATCCTAACTGCTTACTCATGCCCTTCTTTTCCTCCTCTCAGCTCAACTTTCTGCCCCGCTCCAAACTCTGGCTGGTGGAGAGTCCATAAAGCCCACAGGCAAGCCCTCTGGGAAGGCGGTTACCTCATCCAGGCTGTTCTGCTGGCAGGGGAAGGAGAAGGTGAAACCCAGAGGCAGGGACACGCCCTTCATGCCCATGTACTCAAGGAAGTCGGCGATGCACTGGACGATGTGGTCAAAGAGCTGCAGGGAGAAGACAGGCTCTGAGGGAGGGGCCCTGGCCAGGGCAGGCTGCCCCCAGCAGCTCCTCTCAGGAGAAATGCAAGCTCAGGCACTAACATGAGTGAAGACAAGGCCAGGGCCCTGGCCCACCTAGCCTTCCCTGGGACCATGGCTGAGCAGAGAAAGCACTGTCCTCCAGGGTGAAAAGTGAACGTCTGCTGGGGTCCCCTCCCAGAAGCCACCTTGACTCACCTCATCCCCTGTGCCATGCATGACCTCCTGTGGGATAGAGTAGATCTTGTTGTGCATCTCCACTCCGCGCCTCTTCCCATTCCTCACACGCACCAGCAGGACCCGGAAATTGGTACCCCCAAGGTCCAAGGCCAGGAAGTCACCTTTCTCTGCAAAATAAACCCGGGAAGATGACGCACTGGGGCACAGCAGAGGGTGACAGTCTAAAGCACTTTCCCCTAATGGGGAGCTCTCCTGGCAGCCCCTCAACACCCTCAGGGATGATGGACTGTGTGCTCCACCTAACAGGAAAGAAAAGTAAGACCCCTGAGGGCCAGAGCCGTGCTGTCTCCTTAGCGGTCCTCAGATGAGTTCAGGTGGGTCCCAGAGGTCACAATGAGCTCTGCAGGAAACCAGAAATTGTGATACAGTATACTCAAAAATATCTAAACATGTCATTTGTGCTAAATCAAAGGCCACCTTATGTTAGCTTCTAGAATAGAGTAAAAAATAGCAGAGTTCAACTCTTTAAAGGAAATTGAAGGGAAATCTTTTCACATGAGAAAACCCTCCTTTGTTGGGCAATCATAAGGTGCTACGTGCCTCAAACATACTCCTCACGCAGCCCTCAGGCAGCCATGAGAAAGAGGCACTGCATTTCCCTCTGATGGAGGAGGGAGACCTGGCTGACCTAGGCTGAGTCACTCACTCAGGCCCACAGAGCCAGAAGAGGGTAGAGCAGGGACCAAGGCCCAGTCTTGGCCCAACTGCTACGCTGGCTTACTCAACGTCAGTTCTCTCCGAATTGGGAAAAGATCTCCATTTCTTAATTTGTAAGACCTAAACCACAGGTCAGCAATCTTTTTCTACAAAGGGTTGGGCAGTAAACATTTCAGGTCTTGTGAGCCACAGTCCCTGCTGCAACCACACAACTTTGTCATGGTGGTGCAGAGCAGCCATAAATAATATGTGGACAAATGGGCATGGCTGTGTATTAGGAAAACTTTATTTAAAAAAATAGGCAGTGGGCCAGATGTAGCTCATGGGTGTTAGTTTGCCAACTCCTGACCTAGGATTTATAAGAACTGGCCCTGGAACCAAAAACTCCTGGGTTTGAATCCCAGCTCTGCCATTTTCTAGCTGTGTGAACTTGGGCAGTTTTCTTAATTTTTCAGTGTCTCAGTTTTGTGCCAAGCATATTAGTTTGTTAACAAAATTAATTACTAATTGCTGTTAACAGTTAAAAATTAAGTTTATATGTGTAAAGTGCTTACAGAAGTGTCTGACACATAGTAAGCATTCAGTAAGTGTTTATCATTATTACTATTCAGTTTGTAGCAGGGGAATGCCTTGCCTGAGCTTACTGAACACTAGAATTGCCTAGTGCTAGAGCTGAAAAAACATGTTCTGGTCCAAATATCCAAAGCCATGGCTAAGGGAGTCCTCCTGGGCATCAACACCATGAAACAGGCCCAGCACCGCGAGCCGGGAGGCAGCCTGCCGCATACCTGTGCCATCAGGGGTGGCACACACGTAGGTGGGCAGCATCTTGACGGGGGCAATGGTGTGGGTCTCCTTGCTCAGACCTCGCTCCATTTCTACCTTCATCCTCTTCTTAACCTCTAGCAGCTGCTCACGGTTCAGCTTCAGAGACTCCAGGGTATTCTGGCGGGCTCTGTGTTGGTCAGCCAGCCGGTAGGCCACTGCCGTCACCATGGCTGCCCCCTTGCCACTGCCATCCTCGGAACGCAGGAAACGGACGTCGCAGTCGGGCACCAGGCGCCGAACCGTCTTGTGAAGACGCTTGGCGAAACTGCAGTCACCAAAACAGGGTAAGACATGGGTGTCCGCGGTTAGGGTCAATGGTGCAAAGGGCTCACCGCCTCAGCTCAAAGGCCGGGAGGCACCTGCAGGAGCAGATGTCACCCTGATCATCCTCTCCCCACTCTCCCAAGTCAGGGTCATCACCGTGTTAATTAAAGCTCAGCTATGCAACTGTGACCGCCCTTGCTGGGTGAAGGGAAGGACTGTTGTAGGAAGTCACTACCCACTGCACACAATCACAGTAAGTAATGTAGTAAGACCCTGTATCTCAGGCCGAACCCTTCTGAATCAGAATCTGCCTCTTAACAAGATCCTCAGGTGATTCATGTGCACTAGACTAGAAAACCAGGGAATGCTAGGCCTGAGACCTTCTGCATCAACCATTCAGTTAATGAAGGCCCGTTGACCTGGCGCTCCTATTAGATAAAAATGATTAGATAATGAGTAAGTACAATAGAGAGATGGCCAGGTCCCAACTGAAATTTGAATATCTTGGACCCAAGGGATCCAAACATGGAGGGAAGGGCAGGATGAATTCAATACCCAGATCAGCCAGAGAGGCTGAACTAGGGTGTCCCCTGGCAGAAGACACAGTACCTGCAGAGCCCACCCAGAATCATGACAGAGTCAAAGAAACAAGTACAGAGAAACCCTAACTCCTAAACAGGAGGGTGGCAGAAAGAGCACTCCCCCTCCCCCGCCCCCCACCGCCAGCCAGGGGGGCCCTGGATAGAGCTGCAGTCATCCTTCAGAGATGGCTTGAACCCCTGCCAGGGACACACCTTCCTGATCCTCACATGCCCAGCTGGGAGCTAATTCTACAGAGCTCCTCAACTCCGCGTCCCTCCCCACTGTGCCAGAACGCAAACCAGAGTTGGCTGGGCAGTCACTAGGGTCTCTCTCAGGCCTGTCAGTGGTCTCCAAGTGCTCTGGGGGCCCTGTCACTATGGGTCCCAGCACGCTGACTCACTGAGGGTGCTTCTTGTAGACAGAACCATCAACCCCAATGGTGGAGCGCAGCCTCTCCTCGCCCTTGTTCTCCTTGATGCGCCGCAGCACGGCTGCCAGGGTGGCTGCACACAGGCTGGCTGAGCGTGTGGACACAATCTGGCACACCCGGTGAGTGGCCACGCAGTCCTCCTGCGTCGGGTCTATGCCCAGCCGCACTAGCACCTCACGGGCCTTCCGGATGCCGTCCTTCTCCCTAGGAAACAGAAGGACAGTGTGTGGGCCTGTGTCCAACCCACTGTGGCCAGGGGGAGGGGGTATGTCAGCTGACAAGGAAACCGTTCATCTCCAGCCAATACCATCTCCCAGTGAGGATAGAGAAAGGGGAAAACACAACAGAGCCAACATGAGGCTCATCTCACACACACACATACATACACACACACACACACACACACACACACACACACACACACACACACCACACTGCTCAAGTGCCCCTTTTTCCCACTGAGAAAAACTAATATTTTTTATTTTTTATGGGTACATGATGTAAGGACAAGGCCTTGCTCTCATGGCTTCACACATCAAGGGGTGTGTGTGTGTGTGTGTGTGTGTGTGTGTGTGTGTGTGTGTGAGAGTGCATGCTGTGTTTGCTTACCTAGGGGTAGACGGAACAGTGTCCCGTGGTGGACCCCACCCCATTTTCTCTCTGTGAAGCAGCCAGCTCATTGCCTTTCATGAGGGAGCAGGCACTGCTCTAATCTATGCGAGAGACTGTGCTAGAGTCTGCTGTAGTGAGCTTAGCACTCTCCTCAGGGGAACTAAGTGCCTCACCAGTATACACCCTTCCATCCCCTCAGGGCTTATAACAAGCAGGCACAATCCGCTCAAGAGTTTCCATCTGAAGGTATAGGAAACTGTTTCACTTCTCCCTTTAGCACCCAAATCCCCACCTCTCCATCATTTGGTCCCTGAAACGACAGGGCCAGCTCAAGCAACAAGTGGAAGTCTCTAGAACAGGAAAGTAGACCCAACTCTTTGGATACTGTTAACTGAAAAAACAAAAATCAGGCCACCCTCACTCCCAGCCATGTCGCTCTGGGAAATGCAGGCCTCAGATCTACCTATTGGAACTAAGTGGGTAAATTTTAGAGCAGGGCTCTAAACAGGGACCTCTCCTTCTGTTATGAAGAAGGTGTCAAGAGAGAGCCTTTTTGGAGAATCACCAACAGAGAAATAAATGTCAGAGCTTCTGAAGGGAAAGAAAGTAGATGCATAGGAGTCATCAGGGGGCTCCCTGGGAGCCTCCAGCATTCAGCCCGGCCCGACCCCCACCCATGCAACACCATGAGCCACTTAGGTAGTGCACAAGAGTGGAGACTATCTGGAAAGTGAAGTCAGGCTACAGGCCCGCCATGGCCCATGTTGAGCAAGGCCTTCCTGCTGTCCAAATCTGAAGGGTCAAGGGTCAGTGCCCCTTCCTCATTCCCCAACAGCCTGTCCACTCTTCTGGGGATCCAGTGAACAGAGAGAGAAGGACCAGGAAGCTTACCCTTCAATATCTGAAACGTCTTTGGTCTCAAAGTGGCCAGTGGCGAGGAGCCCTGGGCTGAGCTTCCCCCCAAAAAGCAGCTCCTCCTTGGCCATCTTCACCAGGATAAGTCTCACCAGTTCACCCATATACATCCCACTGATCATCTTCTCAAATCTGCAGGGAGATACAGACCAAACAATAAGTACATGTAAGCGGAGGCACAATGACATGTTAACTTGATGGCGCTGCTAGGAGTAAGATGTGCAGACAGGTGACAGCTCAGGGGAGGCTGCAGGATCAGGGACGTCTGGGCCATCTCTGTAGGCCAAGGGGGCCTTGAACTATGGAGAAAAAAGGCCTTTAGCAGCCAAACTAAACATCCAGGGGATGTGCAACATATTCTGGGACAGCCTGAATTTTAAATAAAGTAAGTTACATACAGTAAAAGTGACTTTACATTTTTTTTTTCTCTAGCCAGGAAATACTTTTCTAAGATGAAACTTTGTATAGAACCTCAATATTTATATACAAGAGGAAAAAAAGGTCAATAGATTAAATCAGGAGTGCAGGCCCAGCAACTCAACGTCTCATACTGTCCTCCTTTTGCAAGATCCTTTGTGGATTTCTGGAAAACAACCCACAACCCCAGGGGTGGGGTGATGGGCAGGTTGAGCCAGATTAGGAGCTTTAAATGTCAGATGGTCTGGGAATCTGGGAGTGGGACATTTTGGAAGTCTCTGAGCAGGGAGGGGACCAGATAAACGCATGTTTTAGAAAGGCAGAGGCCCGCCCCCAAGCAATCGGCTAACTTATTTTTTCAACACTAGGTGACGCTGTTTTCTTTAGAAGCCAGTCTTTCCGGCTCAAATTGTGTCAGAGAAACTGAAGCTTCACCATTCTTTGTGGCAAAGAAGGCCCTTCCTTGGCATCTAATGATCCGGAGCCCAGAGAGGTGGCCCCCAGGGCCAGCAGACACTAACTAAGCTGGGCTCTAGTGAGGAAACCCAGAGCAAGAGTGTGGAAGGGACTCTGAAGTCACCTGGTACAACCCACCTGGTATGGCCCTCAGGAAGTGACTGGCTGAAGACCCAGGACAAGGTACACAGAGCAGAACTGGAGCTAAGTGCAGAGCTCACAACATTGTTTGAGCAGAGGATTCAAGCACCAGCACAGGCACACTGCCTGGGGAGGCAGCCTGGCTCTAACACTAAGGACCTCGTGTGTCTGTCTGCCTCGACACCTTTTCCAAAATAGCTAGGAGATAGAGATACGGGAGGGGTCCAGTGGGGCTCCGAAGTGTGAGTGATTTATAAAAGCTTTCACTCCAGCTTTTTAAAAACACTTTGTTTCAGTCAACATTTAGAAAAATATTTGTTTAGGGGTGCCAGGGTGGCTCAGTCGGTTAAACACCCGACTTCAGCTCTGGTCATGATCTCACGGTTCGTGGGTTTGAACCCCAGGTCGGCTCTGTGCTGACAGCTCGGAGCCTGGAGCCTGCTTTGGATTCTGTGTCTCCCTCTCTCCCTGCCCCTCCCTCACTTGTGCGTGCACATGCGCTCTCTCTCTCAAAAATAAATAAACTTTAAAAAAAAAAAGAAAAAGATTTGTTTAGAAACACATAAAGAGTGAGAAAAGTTCCTACTGGAGCCCAATAATGACCTCAGGGCTACCTTAGCTGACATTCTGGTAGGTTAGCCCAACCTTTGATTTGTCTAAGTCTGAGACAGTGGTGCGCTCCCAAGGCCGGGCTGGCAATTCTGTCTTCTGACCCTTTAAAGGGCATATGGCTCCTCAGAATGGCTTGGGTGTGCCTTGTTCTTAGAGGCAGACATTGAATAAATGACTTTTGGGTCCATAAATTTTCACCGGCCATGGCAGACACAGCCAGTGTGTGCCTATGAAAATTGCAAGTAAGTGGACTCATGCTTGGATACATGGGAGAAGCTTATGAGTTAAATAAACCACGCTTTGAAGAAGTAAGGACTCTCCCTGTAAAGAAAAAGGGTCCCCGTTGCCGAGCTGGCTTATAGAATTGGGCTTTCCTCCCCAAGCAGAGATCTATGCCAGCGGCTTTCCTGCAATAGTCATAGCAACATAGCATAGACCAGAGGGGGCCTGAATTGCTCAAAACATTTTGTAATTGCCTTCGGAGTTTACAGCAATCCCGGTTTCAAGATTGCTAATAGGGGACACTGGGCCAACGTTGGTGTAATAATGAGAGTGAAATAATATTTCGTAACAGTCAAAAGAAACTAAAAATCAAGTCTAGCCAGGCTGGAGAGTATAACACTCAGGGTGCAAAATGTTGGAGGCCCTCCTGGTCCTGTCCACCCAAGAATGCCTGCTGGGCCACAGGTCTAGGAAGCGGCCAAGGAGTCTCCTTAGCTGGCTTTTCCACAGGCCTTGGGTTTGCCTAGAGCTGGGACCGGAGACCCTAGGTCTCCATGGGGCCCAGCTCAGCCTGCAGGCAACTCTACCATATGTCTGAGTTCAGAGCCTCAGCCAGTGTTGAGGAGACAACCGTGTGGCCTCCTACTCTGGGCAATGGCAGAGGTGGAAGCTACGACAACAGCATTCAGAGACCCTCCCCCTGGCCACCTCAACATGACTTTTCTTCTGTGACTCACAGACTGTTTCTATGGACAACTTACAAATTTAAGGTGGCAGAAAGAAGAGCAGGGCCAACACTTAGAAAAGGACCTTCTAAAATGAAAGCTCTAAAGGACGTAGACAAATTATTACCTACACTCTGGTTTGTCTACTTGTTTTATCTGTTTTAGAGCCCTCTCAGCAATTTATAGTCACAATGCTTGTGATGAGCACACCATTCCCATAACCAGTGGCTGCCCCAGCAACCTTTTGGGGATATAAGACTAAAGCAAAAGTGAGAACCACCCCCACCCCAGCCCTGGCCGGATCCCACCTCAGCTCCTGAGCCCACACACCCCCCACAAGCCCGCCACACACAAGGGGTGCTGCTCACAGTTGCTTCCCAGGGTTCAGGGAGCCCATGTCGATCTCCTGATCAAACTCAGTGCGGAAGTCATCAAGTGTGCCGTCGTCCCCAAAGGCCCCCCACTCCATGTTGATACACATCCGCCCCTCGTCGCCCTCCACCATGTCAATGTGGCGCATCTCTTCCATGTAGCAGGCATTGCTGCCCGTGCCTGGCCAAAACAAGGGACTGCTCAGCACCCACCTACACCAGCCTCTCTCCAGCCCCCAGCTCCCTCTTACTCCCCCATCCTGAGACCACCTAGGGTGGTTGGGATTCCCCAGTGCAGGCTCCTGGAGTATCCCAACATGGTCCAGTCCACAACCACCTCCAACCCACAAATCCTGGCTCAGCCCTCTGAAGTGACTGTACCACTCTCTTCTAATATGAATTACAAAGAGTCATGCAGGCCATGGAGCCCTCCTCCCTTTCCAACCCCCACACCCATTGTTCACTCACCCACAATGAGACCAATCTCACAATTCTGGTCATCATAACCACAGGTCATCATGGTCCCAACTGTGTCATTCACCACGGCCACAATATCAATATCAAAGTCCTACAGGGATAAAAGCGGAGCTCTGACCTTCACCATCACAGAAAGGTTGCAATTGTGAAGATGGAGATAAAGAGCAGCAAGGCACAGAGCTCAAGTGCATTAGGGCTGCCTCCTTACTGACCCTACTTGAAGCCAAAGAAGGTTAGAGCTGGGAATTGGGCTCAGATGCAGTCTGACAGCAGCAACTCACTCCCCACCCTGCATGTCCTCACCATGGAAGCCACCGCCCTGCAGTCTAGTTTACAGACACCACTGCACTCACAAGAGCCCACTTTGTCATTGTTGTCCCCTTCTCCTTCTCTCTCTTCTTTTCTCTCTCTCCCTCCCTCCCTCCTAACATCTGTGACCAGGCCTTTATCTTGTTCTCTCTCTGCCTCATTCCATCCTAATGCCAACATCATCCCAACCTTCTTAATTGAAAATGATATTCAAGTCTTCTTCAGGTTAAAGACTGAAGGGTTTTTCCTGTACTGAGGCTAAGATTATTTATCCATCGTGATAATCTGAAGACCCAGAAGCATCTGATTATATGTAAGATTATCAGTGTGGCAATCATTTTGCAGTATATGGATGCCAAATCATTATGAGGCATGTCTTAAATTTAGCTGTATGTAAACTATATCTCAATAAAACTGGAAAAAAATTAAATCTTATTAGGTAAACCTAGCAGAGAAGGAAGAGAAAACCTCTCCTTAAGAACCACAAAAAGGTTCTCATGCTGATTTGGGAACAGACTAGGAAAGATTTCAGAGTGGACCCATAAGAATGTAAAGAGCCTCCAGACCCCAAGCTCCTGCCTCCCCAACTCACCCCTCTCCTCTGGATGGCCTTCCGGATCAGAGTAACCACATCTTTGCCTTCCACGCCACTGGACTTGAACCCCTTGGTCCAGGAGACCAGGAAACTCTGGAAAAGGACCAAGGAATGAACACTGACCACACTACTCAAACAGCCATTAGTGAGTGGAGACCTCTGCCATGGAGCTAAGCTAAACTACAACCGTGCTTAAATATTTGTACTACTTCCTGACTAGCCTAGGAAAAAGAAACTGGGGCTTCATCAAAGACCCAGAAAGAAGATTAAATGAATGATTCCTTCATGACCTACTGCCCCCAAGAACTGAAAAGAACAGGCTATAGAAATGCCAAAATCAGATACTCTCATCATTAACTCCCCAGGCATCTTTCTTCCAAGGATCTTTATTATGATACTCTAGATCAAAGGAGTTCCTAATTTCTCATTCCTGTTTCCCTACAAGGGATAAAGATAATGTACTTCATATTGTTCTTTGAGGGAAGAGTGATAAAGACCCTCCCCCCCGCACTTCTGATACTTCACCATCCCCCCCCCCAGACCTACATACACTCACCCAGAAGGACAGAACTCTTAATACTCAAACCTCATCCAAACAACCATCAGAGCCGCCTCTAAAACCACAGCAGCAACTGGCTCAAAGTTCATCCCAGACCTCCCAGCCCAATGAATGAAGCAACAAGGGTCTAAAGAACTCATCTTACCTCATCTAGCTTCGTTTGGACACAGGGGAATGAGAAAGTAAAACCCAAGGGGAGCTTCTTGTCTTTGATTTGTAGCTTATCCATGAAGTTAGCCAGGCATTCAGCAATGTGGTCAAACAGCTAAGGGCACACAACACAAGAAGATGAGAAGGGAGGGAGAGAACATGGAAATTAAAAGCATACATACACATTGGGCTCGGCAAGGAACTAGCTGAATGTGTGCAAGATACGTATCCCTTCTGAAGTCTTAATTTGCTCACCTATAGAATGAGGGTGACAACTATACCTGCCCTCAGAGTTACCACAGGGATTAAATGAGTCACACATATAAGGACTTCACAGCAGTTAGTGCTGATTAAATACTGTCTTCCACTCAAACTATTTATCCAAACCACTGTCAAAATAACCCTGTGAGGCAGGGGAAATCATAGCTAAAGCTAGTCAGAAAGTCATCACATACTCTGGGAACAGAACATCCTTTGGTGGCTCTGCCAGAACACTCCTTGTCATGGGTGCACAGCTGACTGTCTCAGAAAGGACAGCCCATCTTACTGCCAAGAAGTATTCTAGCATCCCTGTCTCTTGTGACTGGGGAGGGAATGGGACATTCTCTGGTTGGCATTCATAGAATGAACTTAACAAAATAATAATAATAATAATAATAATAATAATAATAATAATAACAACAACAATAACCCATATTTTTCTTCCATTCTGGAAAAGTAATTTCCTAGGAACATTTCAAAGAAGTATCTTTGTTTTTTAACTTCAAAATGAAAAACCCAGTAAGTCCATGAAGAGCACTGAAGAATGTATAGGGTTTTACGGATGGGCAGCCTCACAACTGTGACCATGCCAAGCAGGACCCACAGCTTCTAAGAAAAAGCTGTATTTATAATTATCCAGGCTTTCGATCAGTCCCAAGGCCCATAGCCCCATAGCTTCCTTCTTGCCCAGTGAGCATCCTCAAAGAGAGGTAGTGACTCCCTCCAGATGCTTAGAGTCTGAGGCCAGGGGCACTCTGGTACAAAAAGTAAGCAGAGGCCGAAGAGACTAAATAGGTGCCATGGGCCAGGTTGACCAGATGGCAAAATCTAAAAGCCAAGGGGGATGGATGAAAATATACCTTTTCCTTTCTAGACAGAAGCAAGGAAGATCCCACTAAACCAGAGGTTCCCAAAATGTGGTCCTAGACCAGCAACAACACCACCATCATACTCTAAATGTAAATTCTGAAGCCCAAACCTAAACCTACTGAATCAAAAACTGCAGGGGTGAGGCCCTCCAGGTAATCCTGAAGCAGGTTTGAGAACCACTGCCCTAAACCCCAAAAAGTATTTGCATTTACAAAGGAATTAAGAGGTTGCAGGTGGCAGGGTAGGCTGAGAGGCCCACTGGCTCCCCAGATGTCTGGGGTATGCTCAGTGGGAGTGATCCAGGAAGACAGGCCAACCCCATCTAGAAGGTGGCCAGCTCTAACAATGTCCTGCATTGATCCTGCCCCTCTGTCTAATCACATGCAAAATTAACCTCAGCTGATGCTGAAACTCTCGATCTCCAAACCAAAACATTCTCAAGAGCAAAAAGATTGGGCAATGACAAACCTCTCTCACGAAGAGGATCACCAATGCACAAGTGCTAATTACCTTGAGCAGAAGCCAAGTATTTTAATATGACATAGGGTTTTTAGATAGATACTCAACAAGTTCTGATTTTCTGTTGGGAAGTTGATCAGAGACAAAATTTACAAATCACCAACTCCCAGCACCTTCTTCCTGGTACTCTAGTCATCAGAGATGAAGAGGGGGAGCTTTAGAAGGGGGGAAAAGCAAAATGGTTTCCCTCATCCAGCCCCGATCCACTGCTCCCTTTCCAACTGTGTTGCCAACGAGGAAAGGCAGTGAAGAGGCACTAAATTATATGCTGCCTGATACAGTAGCCACTAGCCACCTGTTATCTTAATCACTTAAAATGTTAAAAAATTTAATAGTTACTTCTTGAGTCACAACACTAGCCATATTTCAAGTGCTCAATGCCACTAGTAGCTAGCTAGTGGCTTCGATATTGCACAGGGCAGATACAGAACAGTTCTACCATTGCAAAAAGTTCTACTAGACAGTACTTGGTTAAGCAAGAAAGAGCAGACCATCAGCTTCCTTAATTGGAAAACTATCTCCTTTTCTATTAGCTGATGATCTAAGGATAAGATACTGGGAGAAAGAGCTAATACCTTCCTGCCATAAAAAGTCTCAAAGGGCATCATTTCATAAGGTTAGAATGGTTTCCTTTTCCTTATTGGTCTCAGAATCTGTTCACTCCCCTTCCCATAAGATACACTTTAAAAATCTAAAGTGGCCACTATTACAATTTGCAATTCACTGCTCTCAAGTGCAAGTTTATGTGCCTGAAGACAGATTTTATCCAGGAACCCACACTGTCCAGGTTGACAGATCCTCAGAAACCTTTGCAAGTTTAGGGTTTGGTGATTTGGTCTTGGTTTTAATGAAACTTTACGTTTAAAATCCATTTGTTCTCCTCCCAATTAAAAGACTGATACCTACCATCCAAAAAAAAAAGGATAAGGAAAATATAGGGAGAAAAAAAAGCACCAGCAATTCCACCACTAAAATATCCACTATAAATTTCGTTCCAATCTTCTTACCAACTGGTTTCTGCTTCAGGCATATAGTATTCTTTCCCTTCCTTAGGGTGAAATAAACACCTGTATTTTCTTCTAATTTTCTTAGGTTTCATTTTTATTTAGCACTTTTCCATTTATTCAAAACTTTTAAAATATCACAATAGCTTTATGTTTCTTCCCGGTGGATCTCAGATTTTTTTTTTTTTTTTTTTTTTTTTTTTCAAATTTGGACTAAACATTGTCTGTATGTCCTGGAGCTATGTGAGAGCTCAAATCTCAGTCTCAAGGATTTTGCCTCCCTTGTCCAACCCCAGCATTAAAACAAGGAAAGCAGATTTACCCTCAGAGCTGTACCCAGGGACAAATAAAGAGTCTAAAAGTATCTCCCCCACATGATCTACTTGTGGTCTGAAATTTCCTTCTGAGGAGGTGGCCCAGTATGGTGAGAACCATACACTAGGCCCCACCTCTTCTAAACTCTAAGGCCTAAGAAATGGTGACCACACTGGAAGTGCATCTTATTGGATTTCATTTCCTCCATTCACTCTTTTATTGCGTACACGCTGTGTAGAAAATACAACAGGAATAACCACTGCTCAAGCTGAGAGTGATCCCTATAGCAGTGCTATCATCCAGGAATGTCTTCAGTGACTGGACTGAGAGAAGTTGAAGGAGCAGGAAGAACACCCCAAGGAAGGTTCTTTCTGAGCAGCTGAAAGGGGAGACCAGGTTCCCTGGACACCCAAGAGCAGAAAATAATGCTGGACCCGTGGCTGATACCCACCACCTGGCCAGATACTTCTGGTGTGGTGGCAGTGAGAGTCCCCTCTCTAGAAGGGATCCCCTGGGGGAACTCTTGGGAGGGACAGCCCCCAAAGGGCCTGCCCCACAAGATTTCTTGTCTGTAGGAGCACCAGCCCCTTCAGGGGGCACCTCCTACTCTGGAAGCAGGGCAGGTAGTCGGGATCTAGGACCACCATGTTGCCTAATTCCAGGAAGCACCACTCACATGGACCACATCGTGTGGCCTACCAAGTGGACAGAGCCCCCTAGAGTTGTGCAGATACAGGTTCTAATGTCATCAATCGGGCTTTGTGTTGTGCCTCTGGTCCCAACCACCCCTATGATCTAAAGCCAAGTCATTCACTCAATCTTTTAAAACGCAATTCCACATCTATAAAGCAGATAACATGAACACTCAGCCTCACAGGGCCAGCATGAGGACAAAAAGAGGAAATGCATACAAAAAGCTTTTGCTCAGCCTGACACACAATGGGTCATCATGTGTCAGCTCCTCCTCCTCCTGACAGTCACTCATCCACTTCAACCCACTTATGACCTTCTGTGAGGGGTGGGGTGTGTGACCTGGTGGTCCAGCTGTGCTGTAAGCCCCGGAGGGGAGAGGCCAGGACTTTAATTCCCAGCAAGGATCACTGCCCAATGCATAGTAGAAGCTCAATATATGTTTGGAGACTATCACAGTGGCAATCCCATCCTTGCTGCTTTTTTTCTGGCTGTTACTGAGAGGATTCTTTCTTGGATTTCACATTTCTTCTGCATTCACTCCTTTGATTGTTTAAATGCTCTAGAAGCCACAAAGATATGGGGATGACCAAGCAGGATTTGGGGCAATATGTCCACTGCAGTGCCAGGTGGGACAGACTGGATTTTGATGCTTTCTCAATAGGCTTCCATCCCTGTGTGCATCCTTCTGTTTTAGACAGTCAAGAAGAGAAAGAGCAAATAACCACAAAGGTAAAGGGCCAACTTCCATTTTCATGTGATGCTACGGTAGCAAGTATACACCAAAGAGGGCTGCAGAATGACCACAGTGGCAGGTGGCGGTGTCAAACCACAACTGTGTCTTCTGACTTGCTATTCAGCGGCATCACTGCCAATCACAGGCGTCTGGCAGCGTTGGGCCCAGCGTCCTGACAGCAGACTTTCATCGGTAACCAGCCCACGCAAGCAGACCTCAAAAGACATGGCAAATCAAAACACCACCTGCTATGGTACATCCGGACCCCAGGGCCTCATTCACATGTTCCCTGCTCTCTGGCCCGCATGCACCTCTCCTGATGGAGGCGCCCTACTCAACCTCCAGGCATAGAAAGGGATCACCAGGCAGACATATGCCAGGAAACCTGAACCTTAGTCAGGGTCTCCTTCCCCCAGACAGAGGAAGAATAGAGTCTGCTCCCGTGGGGCCCAGAGTCCCAGTGGCCGCTCTGAGAGAAGGGTCATACCTGGGTGCCGCTGCCTCGCATGAGGTCCTCAGGGATGGCATAGATCTGGTTCTCCATCTCAACCTTCTGGAGCCCATTGTCTGTTACTCTTACACGAAGCACACGGAAGTTGGTCCCCCCAAGGTCCAGAGCCAGAAACTCTCCATGTTCTATAGAGAGAGGAAAGGCCACTATTAGTTTAGGAAAGACAAGATCTTCACAGAGACCAAGACTCAAAACCCATGAGTCCCTCCATAAACACTGGTCATCTACCAGTGATGGAGTGGCCAAGGGGTCTTACTTTTTTCCATAAACAATTATGATGATCTGATTCTTTTTCTTAATGCACCTTTATATTACTTTTAGAATTCACACAATGAGGGGTGACTGGGTGGATCAGTCGGTTAGGTGTCTGACTTCGGCTCAGGTTGGGATCTCAAGGTTCGAGAGTTCAAGCCCCGCATCAGGCTCCATATTGACAGCTCAGAGCCTGGAGCCTGCTTGGATTCTGTGTCTCCCTTTCTCTCTGAGCCTCCTCCACTTGCTCGCTCTCTCTCTCTCTCTCTCTCTCTCTCTCTCTCAAATAAAATAAACATTAAAAAATAAAAAATAAAAATTCACACAATGACACAGCCTCACATCCAATGATAGGCTACCCGCTCCCTCACAAGAGCTAACTATTTCCCAGGGACTTTCAGCCAAGTCCCCATCAAGCTCAAGGGGCCCATCAAGCTCCGTACCAGGAGTCCACGCCTCAGTTTTGCTCTTCGTGCCCCAGGACACCCAGCACACTGCTATAGGCCTATGGGCCCCTGGGTCTTCAGCCAAATTGTGGTCCCCATACAAAATTTACTTTTTAATGTTTGAATACAATGATAGCAATATCCTATGGCAGGATAAGAGGGTCATGTGATGACGCAAATGGGATCCAATGGCTATAAATTAAGAGGCCTAGCAAACCAGCCAATCAGGTGCCCCCCAAAAAGATCCCAGGCTTATTAGAATGTGAGAGAATGCTGACCCAAGGGTATGTAAGACAAGAGTCAGGCCACTCAGCTGATCCACGGAGGCAGGCTACAGAGCGGGGATAAAGGGGGGACAGGGAGACTCCACAAACACAAGTGGGTCAAGATCTTCAGGTGTCACCAGGAAGGCACAGTCCCCCCTCCCAGGAAACGAGCAGTGTCGACAGGAAACATCCAGATTCCAGACAATAATACAGCTGGTTGCAGGGACACGCTCCATTGTATGGCACAGAACAAAAGTGCTGAAGAGGCACGGAGGCCAGAGCCAGGGCTGGGGGCTGGCAGGGCAGGCAAGAGCTGGGGGAGGTGGGCTCACTCCCTCAGCAGCCTCCCCCACAAGCAGTGGTTCCACCAGTCTTCCACTGCCCTGCCCCACACCTTCTCGAAGGAAACAGAATTATTTCCTAGGGAATTCACTTATTGGCATATTTGTCAACACTCAGCCCATTTCCAGGTGGGTGACAGCCACTTAAGTACAGCAGAATGGATTGGGAGGGGCAGGAAAAGCTCTGACTGAATGAGCCAACATGGATCCATTCTGTGCCCAGGCCCTCTCAGCAGCAATAACTGTTTGGCCCTGAGAAAAGCTACTTCTGCCCGGCTCCCTGAGGGCACAACCCACAGCCTAAGAGCACACAACTGTGGTCTGGGAGTAGCAACATACAGAGCCTGGCTCTGGAGCCCACGTTACCTGTGTTAGAACTCTGGCCATGTTGGCCATGGCAAGTCCTTGAGCTTCAACTGCCTCATCTCTGAAATGGGAACATCATAGTCCAGGTGGTTGTTATGAGGGGAAAAACTAGACACTGTGCCTTAAACACCCAGCACAGTGCCAAGAACTTAGGACACACTCCATAAGTACTAGAAACTTTCCATCCAGGCCTCCACACACTGTCCAACCCCCACACCGGTGTCCCCCAGGCCCACTGTTAGGGCTGCCTCTCAGACTGAAAAGCAAAATCACCCTCACCAGCGGGGACAGAAGGAACCTGTCCAAGAAAAGCCACTCGAACCTGCCCCAGTGACTTCAGCATTCCTCCTCTGGGGCGCTACTTTTCAGTCCCCTCTCTGGCATCTGGAGAGCCTCCCAACCCCACCAGCTACAGCTGTTAAATAGCTGGGGCAACATCAACCCCACCTGGGGTGACTCTGCCCCTCTCGTGGCCATGGGCGACTTTTCCAGGCACTCCAGTTCTGAGCCTCCCCTGGTAGTGGGAACCCAGCCAGACTGCAGGAAAAGCTATGTGGTGGTTGTCATGGGGGATGAAAAGGAAAATCAAAGATGAACTGCCTGCATCAGCACTCTGTAGCCTAGGATGCATGCAATGCGCTGAATCGGCGACCACGGGGGTCATGATTCAAGGCCAGCCCAGCCTCCGTTCCCAGGAAGGAATGTCATCCCTTGCTTTCTTTTCAGACTCTGCCGGAACAGACATTCCTCTGCATCCCTCCTCCCCGGCACCCCTTCTGCAAACACATGGGATCACAACTACCACAGCCAAGGACTGTACTCCTTCCAGGGTCTAATGTCTCTGAGGCAGACCCAGCACCAGGACTCCTGGAGCTAAATCCTAAGGTGACCTCGTGGGACAGTGGACAGACCCTTCCTAGTGCTCACCCCACACCATGCGTGAGAGGCTCCCACAGAGCAGTGGTGAAGGGCTGGGCCTTCAGAGATGGGCAGACAGGCTTTGTTTTAAATTCCAGCTCAGCTTCCTCACTACCTATGTGGCCTCTGAGCATGTCACCTCACCTACAGAACATGGCCCCTAATGCTGACTTCTCCCAGGGGTTGTGAGGTGGACATGAAATACCAAACACACTATGCACAAATATGTAGGTTCACAGTAAACCATCAATAAAACTACTGTTCTATTCTTTTGTTGATTATGTAGTTCTTCTCAGGCCCTCCAATCCCTACCTACACCTACTCAAGTGGCTCAAGTCCCACCTCCACCGTGAACCTTCTAGGACATTCCAGAAGCCGAGAGCAGACAGAGGAGTGTATGATGGAGCATGAAGGAGCATCACATCTATGGGCCTGGGACCGTCAGACTAGACAGGGTGGGGGTGGGAGCAAGGCTCTAGGGCCGGAAAACATGCCCACAGTAGGTTTCTTAAAGTGCACAGCCATGTGACAGAGGACCCAATAAGGTCCAGAGAAATCATTCTGCTGAATTATAGCTGGTAACATATTTGAGGCAACATATTAAGAAAACATCTCCTATTGCATTTGCTCGTTGATGGTTCATTTGTTAAACAAAATGTCTGAATACCAACCGGTTTATACATGAGACCATCAGGTCAAAGGTAAGGTTTCTTTCATTGTTGAGCATGCTGTTATGTCTGGAAAGCAATTTAACTTTCTAAAAATAATAAAATATGAACATCTGATTTTTTTTCTAAAAAAGCTCAAACAGTACAAAAGTGGGAAAAACAAAAAGCAAATCTCTTTTCTTCTCCAAATAATCACTATTAATGTTTCTTGGGTGTCCTTAGGTACATTTATTTTATAAAAACAGTGGAGGCTGTTAACAGACACATTCAAAGAAAGGGGTTGGAATTGCTGGTTCTAAGGATGTTGTGTTTTTAATTTGGAAGACATTGCCTACAAGTTCATGCCTAAAAGTTCTCAACAATTTCCACACAAACCAACAGCTAAGTTTTGTTCTCACCAGGGTCTCATGTTATGTGGCAATTAATCTTTGCCAACTTCTTTGGTCTAAGTGGTATCTCCTTTTTTTAACTTGGTTTCCCTCTTTTGTGTAAGGTTACACTTTTTGAATTGTTAACTGGCCTTTGGAATTCCTTGTTCTGTGAACTTTCTAGTCACATCTTTTGCCTTTTTTTAAAATACATTCATTATTTTCTTAATAGCCTAAAAGAGCTCTTTGTATATTAAAGAAAATAGTTTTTTGGTTGTATATTTATAATTATTTTTTCCAGTTGGATATCTGTCTTTTCATTTTATTTGCGGCATTTTTGGCATGCAAAAACTTTTTAATTTTTATGTTGTCAAAGTATTTGTGGTTTCTGGGTTTTAGGTTTGGTCCATAGAAATTCTGAAGATTACAGTAGTAGCCCTCCCTTTCTAACACCCCCCAACTCCTCCTAAATGTGGCCACCACCGCTGCTAAAATAAAGGAAGTGAAGTTCCACTTGAGGTTTATTTGAAAGATCAAATTAATCTTCTGTATTTCTTTGTTGTTGTTGTTGTTGTTGTTGTTGTTGTTGTTGAAGCTCCCCCACCCCATCCATCGCTCACAGTAGGCACATTGCTAGGGGCACCCAGCTGCTCGCCACATGGCCACCATTTTCCCGTGGCCACCATTTTCGTGTAAATTGGCCCAGGTGGGAGAACCCCCTTCATAAAATTCAGCTGTGGAGAATGTGGGCATTGATCCCACTACTTCTCACATGCTAAGCAAGCACTCTACCATTTGAGCTAATTTCTCAGCTCCCGCTCTACTTTTTTTAAGGTGATTTTATAGCAAAATGAAGACAGAACCCTGTCTTCATCTCTCTCGTCCCTGGGACAGAGTTCAGACTTCATCATTGGCATCTGGATGACTGTGGTAATGAAACAATGGAAAGGCAGAGGCAGGTATAAGGGAGATTGAGTTGACTGAGAGCCCAACACTAGGTGTTTTTAATGGAAGATAAACTAACATTTGTTAAGTGATGGTCACTTTGTTTATAAGCATTAGCTCATTAATTACCTCAGCAACCCTATGGGGCATTAAAATCCCAATTTTCCTGATGAAAAAACCAAGACTCAGGTCAAGTAACTGAAACCAAGATTCATAATTCAGGTCTGGTTCTCTAGCAAAGTTTTCTATTGTGATGAGCAAGGAGGTTCCTTCATGGGAAAGTTGTAAATCCTCAAATAAGGAATTCTTCTTTAATAATGCCAAAGTATATAATGCCAGAGGTCACCAGCAACCTCCAAGCTGGCCTGGGTGTCAGAGGAAGTGATACTGTAGTTCATAAATTGAGTCATTTGATTAAGGTCACACAGGGATAAATGACTGCTGGGTCCATCTGACCTCAGAGCCCGTGCCTATCCCACTGCACCATACCCATGTCTCTCGTTCCTGGAAGCTGAGGAGGACCTGACACAGAATCCAGGATGAGGCAAATAAGCC